TGATGTACAGTAAGGGATGGTAACAGCTAAATGATACTGGTACTTTTCCAGTATGAAAGATTTCTTCCAGCATGCCCTGTAACATATGCTATAGCTTATCTATCTTCTTCTAGGTAGAGTAACAACTCTATTGTCCCGTAGCTACAAATAAGCACTTAGACTTTATTACTAGCAGCTGCTCCACTCCAGAAGAGGAGGAGGCCTCCCCCCATTCTGACTAGCATAGTCTGAGGGTTTTATTCAACTTCAGAAAACATTACAACAGACAGTATGGTATCCTACTGAATGCTGTGTCTAAGCACGCAGTTAAATCATAATTCTTGAGTGCAATATTCTGCACAGTCATTGCAAACCATATTCAGTTGAATCTTGCAGCAGTTGGTTGACCATCTTATCCTCAAAAGACAGTGGTTTGTAGAAGAATGAATTGCAGGACCTCAAGTCTAATTAGGAAAATATTTCACATGCTTAACATTATATTCAGGACAGAAACTAAAGAACACCACTTCCTTGGAACACAGAGTGAGAATAAACATGTTCTTTAACATCAGAGATCCTTAAGCTAGAGATGAAATTTACTATGTGTGGATGTATTTTGTTAAGTAGGCTGGTAGTCTGAAACAATGTATTAACCAGCTCTCAGTGTAATTTTACACTTGGAGAGACAATTTAGTTTTACAAGAAAACTATTAAGTATTTGTGACACATTGGCACTACAAAAGCAGTAATACAAAGACATTAAGTAATAATGAGAATAATCACAGCAGTTACTAAAATAAAGTTTTCTTACATAGCTTTTATATTTCTTTCCCTCTGGGTGATAAATACATTTCCTCTGTAATGTTAGTTCAGTTAAGATGTGAGAGGTTGCCTCCAGCTTGATTTTCTCCAGCCCCAGTGGCAGTGTCAGCACCACTAGTCTAGCACAGTGCTATTAGCTTGACCTGGATAAGCAGGGACAGGGTACCCTAAAGATCATGCCAGTTATATGAAGAATGTGGTAATGATGGAGCTAAATTATACATTCTGACACCTACTTATTTCTGGTAGCACAGGAACTGCTATACAGAAGCCATATCCCTTTATTGTATGTAGCCTACATGAATGGAAGAGCAAACCTGCATTAAACGTTGCACTGAAGAGTCTTTCTTCAGTCTGCTTATGTCTTTTCATTGCATTTGTAGAGTGCAGAACACAGGATTAGCTGGACATATTTAAGGAGCATTGAATTATCAGTGCTAAAATACAGTTTGCAACTTTAAATGACTTAGTTCACTAAGTTCTCGTGGTTTGGCCATACAGATAATAAGCATTTTATCTGCTGCTTTGTTCTTTCAGAGCCATAAAATCATTAGTGCTGGTTATGTGTCACCATGTAGATGCTTTATTTTGTTCCACAGGAGTCACCAGGTGCCTTTTCTTTCAGCTTTGGTATTTAGTTGTCAAGATGCATTTTTGTTTCCTAAATTATGTAATCTGACCTTATAAAAACTGCGTACAAAACAAGTAAATACACTGACAAAGGCAAAACATTATGTTGTTTATGAAATCTGTTACTAAAACTAGGACTTCATTCAGCCTGCTCACTTATTGCTATTTATCAATGTTTGTTTAATATTGCAATTGAACAAAGAACAGTAAATGCAATTTAGTGTAGAAAGGCAAGGTCACATGCCCTGGGTCTTAGTTAATTTATCTTTCATGACAGATTCCATTTTCTGCTACTAGTATCATTATCTGGCAATACATTTCTCCCATGGTAGTGCATTTGCAGCTCTTGCGTTGCCAAACTTAGTGATAGTGTTTAATTTGTGTGACATTATTCAGTTATCAAGAAAAAAGTAGCACATGCTGAGAAACACTGTGGCTATTTAATGACAGCAACAAAAAAAAATTAGTTTTTGTATGCAAGAACAATGTCTCAAGTATTTTGCTAAAAAAACCTTTCCTTTCCAAGGCTTCACTATCCCACCACTGTTCCTGTCCTGGGAACCTGGACATTCATCAAGCAGGTGTCCAGATGAAGGCTAACAGGTAGGTATGCTGGGATGGTAGACACAGAATTAATATGACAATTAAATTTTATATCTTCTCCCTTAAGTAATGGCAAATGTATAATGTGCAAAGACTGCAGCACTGAATAATACAAAAGCCACACTGAAATCGCTAAAGCCATCTAGTCTATTCACCTTTCTGTGTAAAATCAGCTCTACATATGTAATTTTCAACAGAAATCAAACTAATGCATCCTTGAGAAACCTACAGCGATAGAGTAGCCATGTAACTCATCATATATTTCCTATAACATTATACACACATGGTTTTGTATGACATTCTGATATTCATACCCAGGTTAAATGGAATACAAATGCAGTCATGACACAAGTGACCCAACAATGTAGCTGTAAAACAGAAATCTTCATGGAGTGTCCTAGAAGGATTCAGCTGGGTTTTCTTGGAAAACATTACTTACTACCTTTACCTATAAGCTGAAAGAAATATTAAGATGATGGATCAAAGTTTTTGGAAGTCAGGGAAGCTGGTGGAGTGATAAATTAGATGCTGATTGTAGAGAACAATCTGAACTGTTGGGTAGGGCAGGATGGTTTGAATATCTTTTTAATGCAGATAAATTTACAATCATACATGTAAGGAACAAAGAGCAGAGTTTATACAGACAGTGTTGGACAAAGTTGTTCAAAATGATGCAACATGAAAAGAAGTCAGGGTCTGGGTAGATAATTAACTGAACATCAGCCTGCAGTGGAATGATGCAATTAGAGTGAATGTCAGCCCTGAAGCCTAAGCAGGGGAAATATGAAGTGGGAGGAAGAAGGTGATATTAGTCCTGTTTATAGCCAAAGTAGAATCATCACAGGAATACTGTGTGCAGTTCTCATACCCACACTTCAGAAAGGACTCTGACAAATCAAAGAGTAGTCTGAAAGTCTTACAAAAAATATGTTGAGGTCTGAAAGGCATGTCTTATCATGAAGAGCTAAGAGTGAGCAAGCAAGCTGCTTATCTTATCAAAAGAAAAGCAGGGAGAACTATTACCTAAATGTAAAAACCAGTTTTGATTGCAGTTGGCTTTTTAATACAGGAGGAAAAGGCATAACAAAAGATGTTTTTGGGGTGTTTTTCTCTTGAAAAGAAAGATATATGTAAGATCTATCTGCAAGTAAAGCCCTTAAAGAAAAATCCACCCAGTGAATAATTACCCACATTGACAGTGAGGTGCTGGATCTTCTACCACATACTGTTACATCTAAAGATCTTTCCAGTGATATGAAAATTTCAGGAGAAGTTACAGATCTCCCGCTGTGACTTATAGCTGAGGTGCTACAACTTGCAGGATCATCATGATCTCTTCTGGCCTCAAAGTCTGTGATTAGCTGAGTAACATAATTCTACTTCCTTTCTTTGAATTCTGTTAAATCATATTGATATATACCTGCTGATGAAGTAGCTCTGAGTCCCTCAGGTCTGAAAACAAGGCATAGTACTGCAACAGTTTTGTACAGATTTACCACCACTGAAATCAATTGACTTTTATTTGAAGATAATCTTGAGAGTGGGGAAACTGTAAGGCTGTTTCTGAACTGCACATCCTGTTCCCACCATGGAAACAGCCATTCAAAAATCATACTCAATCACTGGAGCTAGAAACAGTATTTAATTTGTTTCCACAGACATTGACTGTGCTGAATACAGAAAATTACATCCTTCAGTTTGTCATTTTGTTTATATGCTTTTATATTTAAAATAATATCTAACCGTGAAGTGGTCCTGACTGCAAAAACACCAGACTGTGTTTTCAATAAATAATTCCACTTTAATGGCAAAGTAATAATTTAGACAGATACAGTGCGCACACCTGCAAAAAAATATACGCAAGCTGGTTTACAAGCTAGAGGAACAATAAACCAATAGAAAATACATCATCCAGTTAAGTCCGATGACACCAAATACTTATTATTAGGGCTTTACAAAGACTACAAAACTTTTCAGATGATTTCTTTCACTGTTTCTGTCTATTTACATGATATGTTACATCAAAAATGTACAAAATATAAAATGTGTACAGACAAATGTTTCACAAACAATTTCTGAGTTGTAAACTAGGTGGACTCACTGAGATGTATTGCAGGAAGTTTTGTACACGTAATATTGTGTGTTTGTGTGTTAAATATGGCAGGAAAAGATTTGCAGCTTTGCTCAGAGCACAGGTACAGGAAAGAAACAGCTTTCCTTTAGTTCTTTGAGTCAGTCGAGGTGTATGCGCTGACATTTTGCATCAGAAATGGATCCAGATTTGGGGGCATGATGTTGGTCTGACTGAATCCTCTATGCACAAACTCAGTTGGAGTTTCATTAGGGCAGTAGCACCGTGTAGGAACCTCTAGATTCAGTGACGCAGCTCAGTGCCATTTGGAAACTGCATTGATTTATCTCTGTTTTACAGCAAGTGACCACAGGGGGGCCACAGAGTGTTAATAGCACCAAATACACATCCTGAAGGTAACATCCACGGAGGTGTACAGTACACGTCTACACAATGCCAAAGCCCTTAGGTACCTTCTCGTTTATATGCACCTCTTTTAACCGGCCGTCTCTTGTGGTAAGAGCGTTTCCGGTTATTCTGAGCAGTGTGAATGCAATCTGCTTGTAGCCTGCCCTGACATATGCACTTAAAAACATTTTCAGGTTTTTTTTTCCCCCAAATGTATTGGCTTCATATAGATATTGAAACATGCTTACTGTAGCATTGACAGCTCCTGCATAGTCATAACAACTGTAAGTACAGGACAAACACACCGGGTAATAACAGCTTTTAAGGATTGCATTCTGTATTTGTTTGCAACGTACAGGAAATCTCAGCAAGTGAAACATCTCTTAACACCAACAGAATAAAATACAATATTTTTTTGTTTGTTTGTATGTTTTCGATTTGATTTGTGCAAGGTTTTTTTTTTTATTATTTTTAATTTTTTTTTCCAATATTTACAATACCCACCCAGTAGACTGTGCAAAACCAACCCACTTTTACAGTATAAACTCTTCCTCTTCCACAGTGGACATCACTGCTTCAGTGTTCTTTTATGCTGAATTCTTCATGTACAACAATAGCAATCAAAACAACATGCTAAAACTAGAAAAAGGAAAAAAAACCATATATTTGTGCTCATGCTGCATCAAGTGCATCCAGCTCTGCTGGATAAGAATTCAAAACTTTTATCCTCCAAAAACTCCATTCCATGGGACCAAATGGATTTGAGCTGATTTTCTCAGCATTTATGTGGCAGTGGAAGTGGGTTTGGGTTCCTTGTGTATTTCTGAGGGTAGGCAGAGCAATCTATTCACAAGATAAAAATATTATATAGCAACTGTTCTTTCTCCTATCCATTACTTTAAAAAATCATGATATACAGATATGAGGCTACTGTGTTAACTGACGTTTTCTCATTAGTAAATGAAGAAAAAAACAGTGTAAATTACCAATGGTTTAGGAATTAAACCAACTGTAAAACTGTTCTAGAAATCTGTTTTAAGGCAGTGAGACAGCACCATAAGAAATGTTCCTTCTTCCACTGAAAAGGCTCAAACAAATGAAGCCCTAAAAAGCCTTTAATCAGTGTTGGTTAATAATTGGTATAAAACTGTTGTTAAGGAGTGGGCAGGTGGTTAAAAAAGACCTTTGTGGTAAAAACAACTTTATAAAATCTGTGACTTGTATACTAAAAACTTGATGGAGCGCATCACCGTGACCATGGCAGTTAGAATTAAATTGGCACTTATCCAGCATATCACAGTCATGTTTTCTGGTGATTGCACAATACTGCTTGTGCTTTCTGAGTTACTATCATCATCTTTGACTCATTTTGGAATGGGCAGTAGCGTACAACACAAACACCACTGCAGTCCTGTGACCAGCACCATGTGGCACAACAGAGGTTAGAAGAGAATTAGAAGGCCGCATTGTTCATGCAGCACCTCAGGATAAACAAAAGGAAAAAAAAAAACCAAAGAAACAAACCAAAACCAGAAGAAGTTGCACTGTAAACTTGTACAGAAAAACAGAGAGAGAGAGAGACAGAAAGACAGAGAGAGAGAGAGAGAGAGAGAGAGAGAAAGAGGAAAAGGGGAAAAAATAAAATTCCAGTTTGGCTAACAAGTGTGCAATCTGCTTAGATGCCCTTGTCTGGGGCCTTTTCCAGTTGACAAATGGAGTCTTACTTGGCTCCATAGGTATTGAAATGCCTTGAAATTAAACTAATTCAAGCTTTCCACTTCAATCTTTCTTCCTGACTTTGCAGAGTTAGGTCTCCTGCCTACCTACAACACACCATTCTCACTCAGGGACCTCGGCGTGCTGCTTTAATACTGGCAGTGGTCTAGTGGAAACAGATTTTACCATAATCCTCCACCAAGGTTTGTCCCTTTCACAGAGTTGATTCAAGGGATGAATCCAAAATGTCATCATGGTGGCTGGTGCTATCACTGTCACAGCTTTGAGCGCTTGAATAGTTGGCTGCCTCTTGAAGCCTCATTAGCATATTCATCTGAAAGAAGAAAGGAATGTTTACATAATCGCACCTCATTTATTGCTGCAGTGACCGTGCTAAAATTTAATTAAGCTCCCTTGCTGAATGAGGTATGCTGGTAGCTAGCTGAGGGGATCATACAAAAGGATTTCAGAAAGGGCAGAATGTCAGCGACTCCTCCTGGCACCCTTTTCATTGCCTTCTGGTCTTTAAATAGAAGTTTAAAGGTCCAAAAAGCCAGAGGGACTCAATGGAGCTGCCTGAGAACTCTCTTTAATTCAGGGGTGAGCCTGGCTGCAGCTGCAACACCATCAGGAGAAGGAATCCATATCACAGCTGGACATCTGGGTCCATATTTGGAGACAGTCAAGCTTTCAGATAATTTTTGGATGGCGTAGACACACTACATTGGAAAAGCAACTGAAAACATAATCATGCTAACATAACCACTCTGCAAGAGGGAGACAGGGAGGGAGTGAGAAAGCAGTGGACCAAGGCCAGCTGCTTCATGAAAGAGTCCCATCTGCTGTCAAGGGGCTGACCTCAGCAGGGATGCAGCAACAGATCCTCCTACCCAGGAGCGAAGAGCCCTCACATAATTTGGGGATTATTAGAACCTGAAAACCATCTGAAAAATCATCAAAAAGCAGCATTAAGCCCCAGAAAATTACTTGGATGCTTGACGCCTAACTCTGTGTAATGATCAGGATTTTATTTATAAAACATCCACTTCTGCCAGCATGCTTAGGGCTGCAAGCAATGTCAACGTTGCTTCAGTGCTTTTCAAGGAACAAATATGCTGTCATTACAAAAAAGCAGGCAATGAAAAACCAAAGAGAAATAAGTATTCTTGGGTGTTTGTGTGTTAAGCCCCTTTTCCCAGTTTGCCCAGGAATCCTTACACCTCTGTGGTTTCAGCCTGCACAGCTTGTAAAATTTTCCCTAGGCACTGAAATTTTAATGTTTAATAATTAAATACAGTTTAATAATTTTTAATGCTATCAAGTAGCTTTTGCTGAAGGTTTAGTAGGTCTCCATGTTTGAGAATACAGCATACATGCAGTGGATGTGCAATACAGACTGCACATGACATGTCCTGTTTCCACCTGCATGATGTCTACTTCACCGTGAGCTCCACCGGAGGCAGGGGCAAGCCCTCCAATCACAAGTATCAAGCTTCTGACCTTTAGTCAGATACAGATACTGATCACAGGGTGCAGGCAGCAAGGGTGATGGGACACTGAATTTCAGCTGCCCAAGTATTTTCACCGTAGTGGAGATCATAGCCAAAATCACAGGGTCAAACTATCGTCCCAGAGCTTATGGACTGGGAGACAGGGGATCAAATGAAGTAATTTTCTATGCTTCTTCAGGATGCAAGGTCTTGTTTTGGATACTAAACACTTCAGAGTGAGGCTGTGGAGTCATTTTCTTAGCACTGATTAAATGCATTGTCTCTGAGAAATTCCCTTTTTCAAGGGCTGTCTTTATTCCAGAAGCACATTTCTCTAAAATGGTATTTAGAATTGTGATAAAGGCAGTCTACAGAGAAAGCACTATACAAAAATAGCAGTTCAATATGTGAAATTTAATAGTCCATTGTCAGAGGAGGCAATGGTAAACTCAAACGTCTGGGATCATATTTAAATAAAACAATACAAGGTATTGAGGGAAATCAACCTCTTATCTTTTAATACCACCACACTTGCATTCCTTTTCCATTAAGACTTACACAGGCATCAGTTATCTTGAAATGTTCTGAGGAATGAGAGTATGGCTGTCTAATTTGAATTTTCACTAGATTCTCTATGACAGAAAAGTTAGCTAACATGATTTTCTCAGTCCCTCATTTGTAGAATGTAGAATGAGGACTGCCCAGCCTTCATCATTATAATGATGAAGACCAGATTAGTTTCTGGGTAGATAGGAAATGCAAAAAAATTCAGGTATATATTAATGTGAGGGTGACACCTGCCCTCCTGCTATATTTTCCTTTTATTTTCAACCTTTTAAATAAATCATAGTAGGATTTATTTTAAAATCCCATTTTGGAAGAGGTACATAGTAGTTTTTACTGTATAAACTATAATTTAACATGTTGCAATAAAGAACATACTGAAAAGCCTTTTCCCTGAAGTTTAAGTCTTACCAAGGGATCTCCCTCTGGATCAGTTTGTGGAACATGTTTTGAGGTTGTTCCTTCCTTTGCTGATGCATAACCTTCATAACCAACATCTTCTGGTCTTAACTGAAGTAATGATGGCCACTCATGCTGCAGAGATGCGGAGCTCCATGGATAGGTATCAGCTACCCACTTGGAGGGATCCTCCCAGGGTGCCCTCTTACCATACATCTATATTAGACATATAGCACAGGTAAGTATCCTACACAGTTTTCAATACCAGTTGTAACAGCAGACAAAAGTAATCAAAACCATCTAAACCATTTTACTGAGTGGTTTGCTTTCAGATGTGCTCAGCACTAGGATATAAGATATTCAAAAGACCTCATCTGCATTAATGCTCCTTCAATACATAGAGTGGCTGCAAGATGAAGAGCATTCTGTAACTAGTGACACCTGTAGGCAACAAAGGGAGATTCAAGTTTTTGATACAATGTGAAATGAGACCTTTAAGTAATTTTCTTAAGGCCTATCCCTGAAATTAATGTGGACCTATCGAAGCCATTCAAGTTAATTAGATTTTGTTTGAAGTGAATTAGGAAATGCCAGTACAGGTTGTTCTCTTCTCCTAGCAAAATGGGATGCAGAAATGGACACCTGTCCACACCTTAAGTTTGAGATCTTTCGTAAGGTTAAGAGAAGAAATCCATAAAGGATAGCTTTTCCCTGTAATGAAGCACACAGCTGCTTATGAATCTGGAAGGAGGACAGAGGAAGGAAAAATGAGAATATTCTAAGAGGTCTGGCAACTTCCTCACTGAAACACACACACTTCTCCACACTGCTGTTCACAGGCAACTCGTTAACCGAGTGCCCCTCCTTTGCTGCTTTACAGATTTCCTTTAGCTGTGACAGTGACACATTGGGAAAGGGAGCCATTCACTAGGGCTTTCTGTGATTTCTTCCAGTTCAAATAGCCTCATGCAATCCAAGAAACAGTATAATATTGGCAAGGCATACACTCATGGAGCATTTAGGTGGGCTGCTCTGCTAAAGGGAGTAAAACAGTGAAGGATTTTAGTGCTAAAGCCAGAGAAATGAGTTGTGCTTATCACTGCAACACCTGCTCCCAGGCACTTGCTGAATCCAGAGCTCCAGGTTAGGCAGCCAAGTTCCCTATATTATGCACAGAGATACTCAGACTTCTGCCCTACACTGAGAGGAAGCTGCTATTGCAGGGTTCTGCCTAAATAAGCCAAGAGGAAATGCTTCTCAGGAAGGTAGCAGCCTGACTCCAAGCTGTAGGCAGCACTTGCTTCCATCTCAGATTAACAGTGAGTAAGTCTTTTCTGGAATCTGGAGCAAGGCTTGTAAATTCTGTGTCTGACAAGTGAGTTTGCAAAGTACTGACCTATAAAGGTATTTTCTACCCATCCCTCGTTCCAGGAACATCTAATTATATAATATAAAATATATCTGTTTATTATTGTTACTGTTAGTCTATGGAAGCTGTCCAAAGCAGCACGAATTTTCTTCTATATGCTGCCATCTTCTGCTCCAGAATTGAAGTTTTCATTTAAGTAGATACCCTGTATTCTTGGGAAAATATGAGCATAAAGAATATCACTGCATTTTTCTAGCTGGTCTAAACAAGTGCAGTGAATCTCACAGTAGCTGTTCTACCAAATGTTTGGCAGTTTTTTGCATGAGGCATAAACATTCTGTGATTCCCAGAGATAAGCGGTTTTAGGAAAGCTTGAGATATTCAACAGGCAAGATTATAAACCTGCACTGCATCAATATGTCACTATATCAATACAAGCTGATAAAGAAACCACAGCTGCTTGTACAGTACTTTGACTAGTCCATAGCAAACCCCTCTGCACTATGCAGTAATTTCTTTCAGCATCATCTGTGGCAAAAAAATGCATTTCCAGAAAGCATCTTTTCAGAGGACATAGAATTGCAGTGAATAAAAGGAAAAGGGAAAAATTCAAATAAAGTTAAAAAAGAAAATATTAAAAATTAATGGCAAGATTCAGGTTCGCTACAAAGTTGTGGAATGGTCTGAAATCTTAACCTGTATGGGACAGCTTACAGTGCTATCTACAGAAAACTTATTTGTAGCCCTCTTTCTAAAGTATAAGTTTTAATAGCTCATTATCAATGGAACTGCTGCTAACACATAGCTCTGGAGAGTACAGGACAGGAAACCATGAACACCTCTGATCTGATGGCACTGTTACCCAAAATGAGAATTACAGTCAGGAGGAAATCTTAGTCCATATAGAGAATAAAATGAGGAGAAACAAAACTATGGGAAATACAAGCAGGGTTGCAAGGTTTAAGAGCAGAAAGGGACAGACCTTCTGCATCAGGGCCAAAGAGTAAATTGTTTCACTCTGGTTTGATAAGGCCAGTGAACATTTTTTTTTTCCTGAATGGTGAAAATATCTTTGTTCACAAGCTTTCCTCCACAAGCCTGTATGCCTACATGTGTACACTGGTGGTAGAGGACTGCACAGACTAAGGCTGTTTTCTTGTGCCAGCATAAGGGCTATTAACTCTTCCATGCAGGGGTTAGGCTAAGATTGTCTTGAAACAGTGGAAAAAGAAGAAACTTCCTCCAGACACAGAGGAGAAACCCTCTTCATAGAATATAAGATATGCTAGTGCTGGAGCAGACAAAGCCAAATTATACATCAGAGTAAGAGCATGCCAAAAGCAGTTCAAGGGTGGTTTCTGTAAGACATCCATAGATATTCTTCTTCCAAATGCAAAATGCTGGGAAACAAATGACATACCTGAAGTCCTTCTCTCACAGCTTCCAGAAGATAGGGCACCAGAGAATAGTTCCAGAGGTCCGTGAACCACACTCTGGAGCCATCAACATCCATAGGGCAAGGGAGGAAGAGGCGGGGACCTGAGAAGTCAAGTTGTGTATTAAAAAAAGCTGAACTAGGGAACACACTTAAAATAATTTTTACAAAATTAAAAAAACAGTATTGGAGCAAATTCAAGTGAAGAGAATACTACTGCAGGGCTAGGATAATGGAGCTATCAGTCTCCTGTCATTAAGAATGAACTAGTGTCACTTTATCAAATTCTAGGGCCTGATGAGCACTTAGAAGTTTTATGGGCAAAGCTATGTAAAAGGATGACTTCTTTGCCAAAATAGCTATTTCACTAAAAGACCTTAGGTACGTGTATAACTCCCACCTGCTCATTTCCTGAACTGACTGACCAAGTGATTTTATTGTTGTAATTTGCTGCAGTGTGACATCAGGGAAAAAAGAAAAAAAAGCTCAGAAAAGTTGCTATTGAGATAATTTTTTGTAAATTTGACTTTTTTTAAATTCTGACTGGAAAGTCTTTAGCGACCAAGGCAGAAATACATCTCTCCCACCAAACTTCCCATTTTTATTTCAATTTTGCTGGCAACCAGATAAATTCCCCACACAGTTGTTTTATGTCCCATTGAGAGATAGCAACTTTTAAAACACACTATGTCCTTCACAAATCTCTAAAATGCTCACCCAGCATCCTTTTTTTTAAACCACTCTACCAACGGACTCACCAATGGTTACATCTGAAGAGCTGTGTGTTTCTAGGAAGCTGTTGAGATGATGCCATGTTTTGGGGATCCAGTCAATTATTTTGATGAGCTCATTATTGCGTGTGTTCCTTTCTATTTCAGTCTCAATCAGTTTCCTCCTCAGATATCTGCCCAGGAAACCTTTAACAGGCTCTGTGTGGTTAGCGCACAACACCCACCTGGGTAAAAAGGATAAATGTCAAGCAGTAATAAATAGCAAATGCATAATTTCCTCTTAAGCATATAGATGGAGGTAATGTCATCAGCTTCTGAATCTTGTTAGTCAGCAAGTATGAAACTGCTCCAATAAACCACATTATTGCCCACTGCTACA